CGCGCCCGGGGGCCGGCGCCGGGGAGAAGCCCACGCCGAGGTCCATGGAGCCGGGGCCCGGCGGCGCCGGGGAGGTAGATTTGGCCGTCTCTAAGCTGGCAAAGCGAGAGAGAGGGATGGGGAGGTGCCCACCCCATCCACGGACACGCAGTGCCCATCCCCATTGCAGACCTGAGCCCCTCTGCCCACCAACTCAGCGTTGGCTTCACCCAGCGCTGCGGGTGACCCTGGGGAGCTGTCGCCCCTTGTCACCCCCCCGCCAGCTGCTTTTTTGGGGAGGAGGGGACGCTGACCAGGCGGTGATGAGGCACTGAGCCAGGGTGATGCTGACAGGCGAGCCCGTGATGGTGACGTGCCGCTCGCTGGAGCCCTCTGTCTGGTTGCCGATCTTGATGTGGGCGCCCGACATCTGCCGGATCTCGCTGATCTTGCTGCCGTGGCGGCCGATGATGCAGCCAATGAGCTGCAAGGGCAGAGGAGGGCTGAGGGGGCTGGGGTGCCCCTCGAGGGGTGGGCAGTGGGCACATCCCGCCTGGGTGCAGTGGGGAAACTGAGGCAGAGGCCGGGGAGAGGATGGGGGAGCCCCGCGTTGCTGCCCTGGCCGGCTGGTTGCAATGTCCCCAAGGAAGGACCCCAGGTCCCCCCACCCTCTTGTCAGCCCTGCACGTACGTCATTGGGCACCAGGAACTCCTGGGAGCTGCTCTGGGAGCTGCTGTCCAGCCCTGGGGAGAGAAAGCGAGACAAGGCAGGGTTAGGTGTCCCCAGCTTCTCCGTCCCCACCGTGCCCAGCGCTGCACGGGCTGAACCCGGAGGGGCCCTGGCGTCCGGGAGGCACTCACCTGGCACCATGGAGGCTGGGGGGGCCAGTGAGGCAAAGGGCAACGTGTGTCCCGACAGCTGCTGCAGCTTCGTCACCTGCGTGGCGCACGGGCAGGAGGAAGAGGAGGAAGAGCAGGGGGTCACGAGCGAGGGCAGGATGGCAGCTGCCCCTCGCCCTGGCGCCTCCAGCGCAGGAGGACTCACCTCCGCAGGAGAGACGCCGCCGTACTGGCCGTGCATGGAGAAGCCCTGTGGAGACGCGGGCGTCAGCAGGGGCTGCACGGGGACCCCCCCATGGCCGCCCTGCCACCCCTTACCTGGTTGGCAGAGAGCAGGATGGTGCCCAGGGAGAGACCAGGGTGATAGGGGATGGTGGCCCCCTTTGGAGGCGACTGGAAAGGGAGCGAAGGAGGGGTGAGAGATGAGGTGGGAGGAGGCCAAGTGCCCTGGGTGCTTCCAGGGGACAAGGCGGATGTAGGGCCGGGTGCCACGGTACCTCCAGGATGACGGCGCAGATCTGCCTCACGCACTGCACGATGGTGTCGGGGCCCCCCGAGACGGAGACCCCCCGCACCGGGGAGGTGGGTAGCAG